AGCTCAAAACTTAGTTTCTGGAATCCCGTTAGTCTGATCCAGTTCAGTAAGTTACTGACAGACTGATCATCTTATTTCCTCCTGGGTTGGTGGTCCTGTCAGACTAGTCTCACACAAGATTAGTTCAATAAGAATAAGTGCAAAGTCCTGCACTTAGAATGGGATGGTCCCATGCATGGGTATAAGCTGGGGACTGACTGACTAAGCAGCAGCTCAGCACAAATGGACCTGGGGGTTACAGTGGAAAGTAAGCTGAATATGAGGCAACAGTGTGCCCTCATTGCAAAGAAGGCTAACAGCATACTAGTAGGAGTATTGCCAGCAAATAGAGGGAAGTGATTATTCTCCTTTATTCTGCACTAGTGAGGCCACATCTGGAGTAGTGTGTCCAGTTTTGGGCCCCCCACTACAGAAGGGATGTGAACAAATTTGCGAGAGTCCAGCAGAGGGCAACAAAATGGTTAAATGGCAGGGGCAAAAGACATATGAGGAGAAGCTGAGAGAACTGGGCTTATTTAGTCAGGGGATGGGAAGACGGAGAGGGGATTTAATAGCAGCCTTCAACTACCTGAAGGGTGGTTCCAAAGAGGATAGAGTGTGACTGTTCTCAGTTGTGGCAGATAACAGAACAAGGAGCAATGGTCTCAAGTTGCAGCAAGGGAAGTTTAAGTTGGATATGAGGAAAAACTCTCTCACAAGGTGGGTAGTGAAGCACTGTAACATCCTTGGCTGGGATGATATAGTTGGGGATGGTCCTAGTCAGGTAGGGGTCATACAGATGACCTCCTGAGGTCCCTTCCAACCCTAGTTTTCTATGATTCTAAAACAGTTCTTCCTGTGTGGAACTAGTCCCTGCACCTTTTGGCTTATGTACTCCCTGGCCCTGCAACACCAAGTCCCAGAATGACCAGGTCAGCCTCCTTCTGGCTGTGGCTAAGATGGGCATCTGTCTGACCAGGAAGGAGGCCTTGGCCAGGGAGACCTTTGTTGAACTGTGAGGTTTTCTTCCCCTCCCTCATCTGTTCATGTCTCTGGGCAGAGTTTCACTGGGCAGTGTCCAGTGGCTTCTTGGACTCATTCAAGGACTAGTGGGCACTGGCTAGTGTGCTTTGCTTGATGTCGACCTTTGAGGGGGTACTCATTATTAACTTTGACCCTTACTTCTGGTCCTTTTTTTGCATTAGTTGCCCTAAAATTCTGTTGTTATGGACATAGTCATCCTCTCTAATGCTGGGGGCACTAATAGTTTCTATGTGGGCCCAGGCCTACAGTCCCTATGTGTACCAAATAGGCCTGTCTGAGACTGGTGAATATCACTTGGTACGTTGGGTTGCTTTTTGGGGTTGACTGAAGGAGCCAATAACAGGTTGCATACACACATTTAAATAATATGGGAGAATTATCTTGGGTTTCTTTCCCCTGCACAAACATTTGAATGCTGAGCCCTTAAGGAGCAGGGAATTTATGATGCTAGTACTGCAGTGAAAGGCCCCTGTGCTTGGAACTCAACATGTTCTGCAGGCTTTCTCAATCTACTTGGAGACAGATGTCAGCAATGCACAGGGCAGCTCTGATTGGCTGCTCAGGGTCAGCCTGCATCTCCCTGCAGCAGAACATAGTGATTGTGAAGCGAATGTGTTCTGCTTCCTACTAAGCTTGAGCAGTAGAGTCCAGCCTGAGTGACACACTGTCTCCAAGGGGTAGGAGAAAAGCACTCTAGGATACTGGAGGCCTGAGCTGTAACTTCTTTTAGAAGAGAACATGTACAGACATTAATTTTCTGCAGAAGAAACGATCGTAGGAGCAATTTAACCCTGGTTGCTCCTGGGTTATTTTTCTCTTGGAGTGGCCATTTTTGATCTGGGAGAACAATCCTGAAAATCTTTCCATTTGGGAGAACAGCAACTCTCCCAGGAGAAACTGAGTGTTTGTATGTGGCCCAAATAGACTGTATACATGTAATTTATCCCTAAATTGACAAAACAGTTTAAAGGACAGTGAAGGGGAAACTTTAGCTTTTGTTGCATATCTTTTGCCTGTTCTAGATGCTTAAATTGATTATCCAGTATCTTTTACGAGACTGAAATCCAACAAGAATGTAAAATGTAAAGGTGCTAATGATAGGCGTCTTGGAAAATAGATCAAACACCTTTAAACAACTCCCAGTCTTTGCTTAAGTGAAACATTAATCTCTCCAGACTTGTTAGCTCAGTTTGATTCAAGGACCACCTGATACCTTAGATTTTTTTTCAAGGTGGCTGGACCACTGGACATGCTTTCAGTAAAACTTTCTTTTGAATGTATTAAATTGATTTAATTTACTTAGATTTCCTAGTACAAATTGGAAGTTTGAAATTAACTTTGTCCAAATCCATGTTTTTGCAGTGATTCTTAATTTTAAAAAATGTAGTCTTTCAAACCATCCATATCTATTAAAAAATCAACATCTGGAAAAATGTGAAGTATTTTATTTACTTTTTGCTTGTAACCTTTGCCAGACAAACTGAAGAGGAAATGGACCTACCACACTGCAGTTTATCTGTACTGCCCAAGTACTGATGAGCTGAAAGAGCAACAAAGCAGCTGAACTCACAGCATATATTTTTTGATCATCATCCCATTACCAGGCCTACTCTCTCTTTTAAAGACCATTTGTGTACCAAATGAACTGTTTGAACAACAGTACCTTATTTTGTAGCTACTAAGAAAGGTTCTGGACTAATATTGTGCAGCTGGAAAATTCTCACTTTGAAGCACAAATTCAGCACAGGGTGGCATTCCTCCTCTTCCTCCATTAATAGCTCTCAAATCTGACTTAAAAGGTGACTTCCACAGTTTGGTCTTGCTTCTGCAACAATGGGTTCATCTTTGGATGACTGCCATTTTGTGCCAAGGACAACTGTTTATTGGGAATTAGACTGAGACCACCAAATTGTTGCCTTGTATCTACTTCCATGGTTAGCAGCCCAACCATGAGAGAACTGCTTTTAAGAATGATTGGAGCTAATCACTGACAGACAAATTAGGGGAGCGAAGGAGGAGGGAAAATGGTGGGGCAGGGGAGGGGGGAAGAGAATAGAATGCAAGTGCACAGGATCTTTTAAAGAAAGTGATTGTGCCTAGGGAATTAGGGGTCCCTCAGGAAGTTATACAGTAATAATGGAAATACAGTTTCCATTGGGCATAGTGTGGTCATATAGTAGGAGAGAGAAAATAGAAATTGGATGCTGAACTAGGGAAACTGTTGCACTGCTGTCAAGTTCAAAGCTCTTCCCAAGCTACACCATTAGTTTTACTGAAAGCTGCTCCTGATGATTGAGGAACCATGTGAGAGAAGCCATAGATCTCAACAATGTGACCAGAGGCAGTTCCCTCTGCTCATATGGCTTCCTCAAGATTGAAATGCAGCATTTGCCTTGCTGCATTCGACTAATGATCGCCATCAAGCATCCTATTGTATCTTCTGTGGTGGATACTACCTCATGTTGGAAAATACCTGACCATGCATCCAAGGTTATAAAAAGAAAAGTGGGACATCTTTATGTTCCATTGCTCAGCTGGTCCCTTGAAGGGACAAATTAAGAGTATCCATAACTTGATACACTAGACTACAAATGCACTAGATTAGCATGGGGATGTGCAGCAGACTAGTGAGCTGCCTGTCTAGATATGTTAAACATTGCTTAAAAGTGAGGAAAAAAAGATAAAATTAGATAAGAGTACCTTTTTCTTGTCTGCTAACACTATACTCCGCACATGATTTATTATGCCATGATTCCCCTACCTTATATTCCTACTAATGATTAATAGCTCAATGCCACTGATGACTAAGTCCATTTCAGTTGGACAATATCCTGTGCACGTGATGTCATTATGATGACTAATTACGTTTGAAATTTAAGGGGTGAAAATATATATCTAAATCTAAAAAGACATCATATGACTTGACTAGACCACACTTTATGACATGCAGGCCTGATTGTGTTACAGATGCTCTAGTGGGGTCTCATAACTTTTTAACAGTTCAACAAAATAACCCAGTACACCAATTATTCCACCCTATGTAAGCAAGCAATTGAAAAGCAATAATCAGATCATTTTGATGAGTTACTCTTGCTTTATTTGGTCTGTCTAAATCCTGATTCAATAGGCTTAACATCACATATCAAGTGGCAACCAAATCAGTGGGACTATTTAATGCTTCTAAAGTTACATGGCTACATCTGAGTATTTTCCCTGCCATTTGTGTGATATAGTGAGATTCTAATACACTGCAAGTGACAAATACCCACATAGCTATAAGTAGCATGTCGCAGTAGTCAGAACAATTCTACATACAGATTTTGCAATGAAAAGCTGAAAGATGCTTAGGTCCCTGTAAACCAGTTTGGATTTTCTTTGACTGTCTCAATGTGAATGCCCTTTTGTAAATGAAATAACTGTTTAGTTTTTTGAGGGAGAAGAGGTGGTGGCAGACTGGGTAGATAGAAGGGCAGAGGCACCAGGCAGCAGCTGCAACTCTGACCTCTACCCCAATTTGGGGCCAGAGCCAGCACTGCAACAGCCACCTTGCTCTGCCCCTTCTCTTCCCCGCCACTACTCAATTTCAAGACAAAGGCCTTTTTTCCCTCATGCTAAAAACCTTATCTTGGAATTGAGTAAATATGCTAATAGAACAATTTCAGTTAACTAAAAAAGTAGCTATTTTAGAATATACTGACTTGTGGTAATGAGCATTTAATTAAAATCTGTCATTTGTGCGTCTACTATTTATACAAGGTCAAACCTATCCCATTTTTTTATACCAGTTTTCAAGCAAAGTATGTTTTGAATAGATGAAAATAGGAACTTTGTTTTAAAATGACAAGATTTTGTCAAGATTCTGTCCTTGGATTAAGTGCATGCAACTTTCATTAATTTCAGATGAAATACTTTTCCTTTCATAAAGAGTCATGTCTTCCACTGATAAACAGTAATATGTAGTCTGAACACTCCATGATCATGGTCTCCAGTCTGCTCTTTGAAATCGAGTAATTGACAGAACACTCAGAACATTGCTGCTTTATAAATACATAGGAAATATGCCCACACCAACAGAACATATAGACTGACTGAACAAACTTGAAGCGATTTAATTCTAAAAAACAGCATCTAAATCAAAATGTACAATTTCAAATAGTGTAAATTTCAAAATGTACTTAAAATGAATCATTTGTTTTATGGCATCTCACCTGGAGGCTTTAAAGTCCTTTATTAATTAAGAATCATCAGCAGCTTTCCCAAGTACTCACACTCTACTGAAACTGGAGCAGCTAAGATGGGCAAGTCACCTTTCAAGAATGCCTGACACTCGCCTGCCGAAGAAAATCTTCTACGGCAAACTGTCAAATGGAGTACGCTCCCATGGCACACCAAAGAAGTGGTATAAGGACACCCTAAGATGTCCCTAAAATTTTGGCATCAACCCAGTCATGGGAGCAAATCACTCGTGACTGCCCATCCTGGATGTCATTACTCTAGAACGGAGCACTGGCCTTCAAACAGCAACGCACAGCAAAAGCAATGAAGAAACACGTGGCCAGAAAAACAAAAGTCTCTTGTCCCTAGTCCTCATCACTTTCCTGCCTCTGCTGCACCACATTGTTCAAGGCAAAGATTGGGCTTATAAGTCACCTATATACCCGCGCGACCTAGCCTCCACCTCCCTCCTTTCTCTTTCCTCTTTCTCTTTTCCCCTTTTTCCTTTTTTTTCCTCCTCCTCTCTTTTCTCCTTCCGTTTTCTCCCC